AGGAGGGCACACTCTGCATGGAGCACTGGGTGTTATGCACAAACAATGAATCACGGAACACTTCATCTAAAACTAATGATGTAATGTATGGGGATTAACATAAGAAAAAAAATAAATAAATATAATAATAGCAGATTAAAAAATAAAAGAGTGTGTTTGGCTGCAAGTAACAACAAATGGATTACCGTGGTTTCAATAAACAAGAGTATATTTTTCTCACGTAAAACAAGTCGAGGTAGGCGGTTCAAGGTGTGAACCTCAGTGATGCCTTAGGAGATCCAGGTTCTTTCTGTATTTCTATCTTAACATCCTTGCCATGTTGGTTCTCCTCCTCATGTTTGTCATCTCTTAGCCACAAGATGACTACCGTAGCTTCCGCAACATGTACACATTCAGGAAGAACAGGCAAGGGGCAGAAGCCCTTCTCCTTGTGAGTCTTTCTCAGCCAATTCATCCCCACATCTCTTTAGACACTGTGGGGCACCTGCCCACCTCCCAAGGGAGCTGAGATATGCCATGACTGATGTAGACCCATCATTATACATCTGGCACTGAGGTAGAGACAAAGCAAAGAATATTTCTGTGCTACCAGATCGATTCAGCAGGCAAGAAGGATGGCAGCTGGGTGAACAACCAACAAAGTCTGCCTCATGGTAAAACATGATAAAGCTGAGCTCCTCAAAGTGTGATCCCTACATCAACAGTATTAATAGCATCTGGGAACTTGTTAGAAATGCAAAGTGTCTGGAGACACCTGGGTGGCTCAGTCAGTGGAGCGTCCAACCCTTGGTTTCGGCTCAGGTCGTGAGATTGACCCCTGTGTTGGGCTCTGCTGCTCAGCCCAGAGTGCTTGGGATTCTCTCCCTCTCCCTCTCCCCCTTGCCCCACCCCCACCCCCTGCTCACACACTCACATGCTCTCTCTCTCAAAAAAAAAAAAAAAGAAAGGAAAAGAAGTCTGCCTCCACCCCAGACCTACTGAATCAGAAATTCTGGAGTGGGGGCCAACAACCTGTGTTTTAACAAGCCCTCCAGAGGATTCTGATGCTCACTCAGGTTTGAGAACCACTGGGATAAAGTTGAGAAAAAAACTTAGCAACCAAGCTGGAGACTCAGTGGTATTAATGACATGTATTCTTTATCAAAGCCCTCCTCTGGGAAGAGGGGAGGAAAAGAGGGAAAGGAAGGGAGGGAAGGAGAAGAAGCTAACCTGTACTGAGAACATACTCAAGGTGGGCAATGTCCTTGATGCCTTCACCTGTCTCTTCTCACTTAATCTGAACAAACCCCATTTTCACAGACTTGTCCAAAGGTATTCAACTGATGAATCATACAGCTCAAATTCAAATTCTGGTCTGATTCCAAGCCAGTGGACTTCCAACTGCTACACCTAAAAGGGAAGAGTCCTGGTAAACTTAGAAGGACTCAATTTATAAAAGTGTGATTAAAAAATAAAACTCATGTTCCTTTACTGGGCATTCAGAGCCCTCTGCCGTTTTGCTCTGATCTATCTTTTAGCCTTACCTTCACTACAGCTCCTCCCCCCCGCACTTCCATACCCTTATCCTGGCTCAGAGCCACCCCGAACACCTCCCCATTTCTTCAGCTTGCCATGCAGCTTCAAAGCCTCAACTCAACTCCTGCCCTCTGTAATGCCCTCCCTTCCCTTTTCTGCCTGTTGAACTTTATTCTTTGTAAATGATTAAACAACTAAAACTGACCCTCTATGCGTTCATGGTATAGTGCATGAGACCAACTTGGCACTCAACAATTGTGTAATAAATGAATGCAAGAATGCCTCCTTTGAATTCTTTTCCTACCAAGAGGCACCTCCAAGTTTTTCTCTCTAACCCAACAGCATTTTGCTTGCATTTCTGATTTCTCAATCTGTCCTGTGATAAGATGATATGTACGCCTCTGTCTCCCAAGCAATGTGTGAACTCCCAAAGCCAAGGTGTGGTCTCACTCATCTCTTTTATCTTCCATAGCACCCAGTGCAGGGTCTTACACTTAGTAAGTGCTCAAAAACCACACATATAGCATGGAACCACATAACCTAAAATGTACATCTGTACATTTCAAAGAACTTCAAACAACTGTATTTCTCAATTAGCTGATGAATCCTACCACTTTTAATGCACAAAAGCCTATTTCATACTAATGCTGTTGATGAAGGAGCAAACCTTTCCCTTGGATCAGTCCAGTGGATTTTACCTTGCCCAGTGCTTAGCTAATCCAATTCTGAGAATACAGCGTCACTGCTGGATGTTGAAATGGAGCCATTTTGGGAAGCTGAGCGGAAAACCTCCCAGTAGGAGTTATTTACGCACCTGCTGGATTGCCTATAATAAATGATACTGGCCAACTCACAGTGCGATCCCCTAGCCCTCTGTACCCTGGCCATTCCCTCTCTGCCTGCATTTACTGGATGACTTCCAAGAATGTTAGGAAATTAAATATATTTTGCAGCCTCCAGAAAGTATCAAGGGACAACTTTAAAAGTGATACTGAGCTGTAGATAATTGCATTTATTTTTTAAAAGTCTTTAAAAGAACACCTTTTTACAATAAATTTTGAGTGTTGGGGGAATGGATAGTGAGGGTTGGAAGGAGGGATCAGAGAGAAAATATGAAAGTGGTTGATAAAATCTGGTACTTTTCAGAAAATAGCACAGGTTCAAAGAAACCTTATAAACATAAATACCAAAAAAGGCAGAAAAATATATTCCATTACTCTGTCACTCTTGTTTGTCTCCTTAGGCATTCTCCAGCATTTTCTGGACATTCATTCCAAATAACTATCCAACAAGGACTTATTGAATACCTTCCATACCATGGGCCCAGCCTATGAGATGCAAAAAGAGAAAGGACACCAAAAGAATGACTGCCATTTCTTTTTCTTTTTTTTTTTTAAAGATTTTATTTATTTATTTGAGAGAGAGAATGAGATAGAGAGAGCATGAGAGGGAGGAGGGTCAGAGGGAGAAGCAGACTCCCTGCCGAGCAGGGAGCCCGATGCGGGACTCAATCCCGGGACTCCAGGATCATGACCTGAGCTGAAGGCAGTCGCTTAACCAACTGAGCCACCCAGGCACCCCATGACTGCCATTTCTTACACTTTTTTTAGCTTTTAAGAACTTAAAAATGCTTTCAAATACTTGATCTCATTCAATTCAATCTCACTGTATGGATGAGTAACCTGAGAGCATATGAGCAGAAGCATAGGAGCAGGATCATATGGTTATAGGTAAACTGAGTCAGGGCCCACGCACACGTCTTCTGACTCTAAGTCCTGTGCTCTTCCATCTCTACCTTTCTGCCACAAAGACAAGGACTGTTTTTAACAAGTTTACAACATACAATATATACTCCCACAATATGATAAACTTTAAAAGATGTCTTTTACGGAGTCCTGGGTAAAAAAGCATCGGAGTTAAATGTTAAACTTCTTCTACACAAGGTCCCCAATGAAATGACCCAGAGAAGAATAAAAAAGAAAAGGCTTTAGGGAAAGGGAGAACAAGAACAGGACAATATGGTTTCCTCATGGTAGAAAGTGTGGTGCCATCCCATCCAACCCTGCCATCCCATCCCACCCTGCAGGTGGGACCAGGTGACAGGAAGACACTGAGGGGCATCTCACAATTCCACCTCCTGAGAAATAGCAGTGCTTACAGGAAGTAAATGAGACTATGAGATCCCCACCAAACTTGACTGGCCCCCTTGCAATTGTGAATTTTTAAGGGTCAGAGGCAGCAATGATAAGGGTGCTGGCTCAGAGGAAGCAAAATTTACAAGAGCATAAAAGACACTTAAAAAGCCATAGCTAATTAAAATTTTCATTAAAACCAATAAAGAAGGGGTGCCTGGGTGGCTCAGTCGTTTAAGTGTCTGCCTTGGGCTCAGGTCATGATTCCAGGGTTCTGGGATTGAGCCCCTCGTTGGACTCCCAGCTCAGTGGGGAGCCTGCTTCTCCCTCTCCTCCCCGCTCGTGCTCTCTCTCACTATCTCTGTCATTATCTCTGTCTCTCTCAAATAAATAAATAAAATCTTTTAAAAAATAAAAATTTAAATTTTAAAAAGTGATAAAGAATAGAATGGGCACTGCAAAAAGTCAAAATCAGTGGTACAGTAAAGAAATTTGAAAAACTGCCATGGAATGAGGAGGAAGAAGACGAGGTGATTGAAATATGGGAGAAAAATTGTTGTAAAAAACATATAATACAGAAATCAGAGATGTTGGTGGGGGAAAAGAGAGAGAGAGAGAGAAAACAGAATAAATAAAACAAAGAAAATAAACAAAAACATAAAAGAAGAAAACTTTCCTGAGCTCATATATCCATAAGGATCCATCAGTCTCCTGTGACAGAAACGCAACACCAAACTTAAAAGAGTCTGGGAAATATAATTTCTATTCCAAGCAGCCATGTGCCCACATGAAAATCAAGAATTATGTTAGTAAGAAGGAAAATATGGATTGGGGGAACCACTATTAACCTCTGCCATAACTGAATAAAACATGCATATTTGCAGATCAAAAGATCTCACTGAGTATCCAGCAAAATTACCTCAAAGACTTCTACTACAAGATATATTCAAGTTCAAGAAACATAGAAGAATTTCACAATTATCCAGGCAGGGAGAAAAAAAAAAGCAGGCTAGCCTCAGTCCTATAACAAACATCAGATGACAATAGTGACACACCTATAGTTTTGAGTGTAATTGCCAGTCAAGAATTCTAAGCTCATCCACGTTGTCATTCATGTCTAAAGGAAATGCAGGAAATTTTTCAGCTACTCAAAGACTCCTAAAAAGTACATCCCTCACATCCTTTCTGAAAAAAGTACTTAAATTATACTCCCACCAATTGAGAAATGAATCAAAATAAGAAAGGAGAAGTTTTGATGAAATGGACCCCCCAAGGTGAGCACTCAAAGCAACTAAATATACCATCTAAGTAATTTTTAAAGGATCATTGTAAATGAGTTTTTAAATACAAACAATAATTATTGAAAAAGAAAATAATGTTAAAAAATAACACCAGGCATACAGTCTTCAAAATTCAATGAATATACACACAAAAGTTTTGTGCCTTTTATTGTTTGTAAATTTCACCTCAAAGTGGGGGAAAACTGCAAGTAATTATTAAACTCTGGTTAATGACATTTGTGCTGAAGTATTTAGGGCAAAGCACTCTGACCTCTTCAATTCACTTCAAAATGCATTTTTTTAAAAAAGATGGGTTGAATGGATAGATACATGATAAAGCAAGCAAAGTAGTATGGCAATGGTGGAAATGAGATGCTGGGTATAGGAGTGTTCACTGTAGAATTCTTCCAACTTTTCTGTAGTTTGAAAAATTTTATAGAACAATATGTTGGAAGAAAAAAGTAATACCTGGGTCTAAAATCCCAGATTAAATAAATAAAATAGGGAACTGAGTGAACTAGTGTAGAAGGGGGAAATAACAGGGCATTTGTTTCTTAACCTTACATAGGAGACAGTTGATAGGTAGCATTTTTTTAGATCAGTAATTAGAAAATTATAGGTTCCTATACCTGTGTTTTAAATTATCAAGGCAATTCGAATATAATTTAAAAATAGGACCTGTACATTCCATATTACTAGCAGGGGAAAAAAGAAAAAGAAAAAACAAACAGCATAGCAAAAAAACAAACAAACAAAAAAATTTAAGCAAAGAGCACAAAGTAGTTTAAAAAACAGAAAGCGTAAGCAACTTGACTAAAGTAAAAACTAACATAGTAACCATGACAATAAATATAAATGGTTTAAACTCCTATATTTGAAAAACGAAACCTACCAATATGCTATCCCAAGACAGCACCTAGAACAAAGAAAGGAAAGTATCAGAATAAGGAAAGATAAGCTAGCAAATATATCACACATGTAAACGCACAATCTATAAAGAAATCAGGATCACAATGTTCTCCATCCAAGTAGAATTTAAATGAAAAGCTTAAGTGAAATTTAGATAAATCCTGACAAAGTGAGCAGCTCATAAAGAAATATAATTGTCATGAACCTTTATATGTCACATAATATACAATAAAAAAAATAAAACAAGAATTCTTAGACATTCTGAGGAAAACTGATAGAAATGTAATAGTAACAGGAAGCTTTAAGACCACGTCTTTGATAGCTCAGAGAGGTAATATGCATACAATAATATAACAGTAAGTTAGGAAGCACCCCAGGTTGTGTTTCGGTCAGTGTAGAGCTGATCAGGACAATAACTCTGTTCACTGTAGAAGCTGTATTTTTCTTAATGAAAGCATACCACATGCAAGCTTCTTTGGCATCACATATGTGCACTGACATTTGGTATATGTTATCTACAAACCCCATCTGCACATGCGCTGCCAACAAACCATTCTCTACATGGGAGATCTAGCAAGACTCAGGAGCTATAAAGTCTAGAGAGGTTTCCAGTGTTGATTTAGAGGAAGAAGCAATGGGATGGGTTATAAGAACTGGAAAAGATTTCTTGTAACTGTTAAACTCAGATATTTCAAAGCGGCGGGTCCTAGTAAAAGATCAGATGATAGAACGAGGAGGTTCAGGGTCTCCCAAGCCAGTTTTGGTTCCCTAGGGCTAGATCCTGCTTTCACAAACAGAAATGAGAGAGTTGGGAAGATGAGTGAGGTGAAGGGAAAGCTGATAGATGGACATGAGGACATTATGAATTTGCAGTAATGAAAAGATAGCCCACTGGAGATGCTCTGGAGGCTGTTGGAAATTTAGAACAGGATCTGGGTTGGAAATGTGGATTGAAGAGTGACCATCACCAAAGTCAGTTAAGACCACACGATTCAAGTTACTGGCAGAGAGGATTTAGGATTAGCAAAACCCACGAAAGCCAGATGATGCGGACATGGAGAGCCAGGCAGAGAACTCTGTGCATGAATCGTAGGCAATGTAGAGCCGACAAAGGTTTTGGATCAGGAAAGTGGTTCTAATTAGTAGGAAATTTCCATTTTGAAGCCCAACTCTGCCTCCCTACATATCTGTCAGCAGCTGGTGCTTCTTCTGCCCTATGGGGTAACATAGAAATCATCTGCTGCCTCTTCCACATGTCAATAGAGGGAAAAGCAGAAACAGCATAAAGCCTTCATGCATTAACAGGGCTAGAAGGAGAAGACACAACGCACTCTGAGAAAACCACATTAATCATCAACCCAGGAAACTGGAACACTCTACAAAACCATTGCTATAAATTCAATATTTACATAAAAATCTGGACATTCAAGTTCTTGTTACCACAGGGAAGGAAAACATGTAAAGCTGCCAGAAAGAGAAGCCCACTTGCTACCTAGACTCACCGAATTCATAGTTGAGTGCAACATTCTCCTTTCACAGAGAAGAGAACAAAGTTGCCAAAAGACAATTGGCGTCTTGATCAATAGCATGTCCACACAATTTACAATTCCCACTTGACCACTCCCATGTTGGGGTTGAAGAAACCGTAGCCCCGGGGGCACAATGACCTGCCGTATGTCACATAGCCAGTAAGCATCCAAACTACGCGTAAACCCAGTTTGCCCTGCCACTCAACCACACAAACCAACCCAAGCAAGCCAGACAGGCAGAGAAGAAAAAAAGAAAAAAATGGCTGCATTGTGCCCGAAGAAGCAAACCCACGCAAACCTTATCTGTTCTTCGGAAAGATGAAAATCCCAGGTGATGGAGGCACTGCATACGCTCAGCTGGGTTTGGGGCGAAGTCACTGGGACCCTCTCTACAATTCCTAAAGAAGAAATAGCATCTGCCAGCTTCCCGCCCAGGGACCTTCTTACAAGTATGGTTTGGCTGGAGCCCAGCCAGACTTCCTGGGTCAGAATCTCAGGGTGGGGCCCTGGAACCTGAGTTCCTCAAAAGCCTCCCCAGTGAATCTCACTTAAACTCAAGTAGGGGAGCCACTGGGGTTTACATTCTTGAGCAACGAACACGTGAAGAGTGAATCCAGATCTTGTCCCCAAATCTGGGGGCAGACCGGACACAGATCATCCTCCTGCCTTCAGTGCCCAGGCCCTCCTGTGCCCTTCTGGCCCCCGCTCATTGCTCAGCTCAGCTCAGCCCAGAATGAGTCCTCCTGAAGGACATCCTTCTGCCATTTTAATTTCTAAAACCTGTCATAAAAGCAGCTCTTCTCTCCTAATGAGGTGATTGGTGCCATAATGCCATTAGGAAAGTGCCCCTGGCGTGAGGCTCAATTAAGAAAGGTGTATTAAATGATTTACATTTCTTTATTTAGCTGAAACACTAGTTCTAGACTTGCTAAGTAATATAATGTTAATGAGCCAGAGTATGGGGCTCATTTAATTCTATACTGTAGCTTTCTAATTGATGCGTTGTTCTTCCTCACCCCACTGTCCAATTTTTCTTCTCCTAATGCTGGAAACAGAGAGAGAAAAAAAAAAACCTATTCAAGGGTCAGGAGGCAAAAGGGAAAACCTACATAAAGACGGCTTCTCAGTCAGTGTGGCAGGCCGACCTTCCAGAGGGACAGGACTCTGTGTTAACTGTTGACCTTGCAGGTTTATTCTGGGCTTCAGCTAAACCCAGAGGCCAGAAGAGCGCCAATATGGAGGGCCTGGCTGCAGTGTTCCCAGCCCGAAAGATCTGCGGCTCTCCGGAGAAGCCCGGGGAAGGTCTGCGGTGTAGCCCACGGGGCCAACAGTAGCAACAGCAATTCCAGAGAGCTCACTGGAAATGCAGAAGCTCGTGCCCTACCCCACACTTATTAAATCAGAATCTGGATTTAACAAGACCCTCAAGTGCTCCTGACGCACTTTGAAATTTGAGAAGCACCGGTCTGGATCCTTCCAGAATAAATCAGAACTTCCCGGGCCTCCCTCAGAGAGATTTACCCACTAGAAGCCAGACCATTCCTATCCTCGTGGCAGCATTTCTCTTTTCTGAAATGTGACACCATCTTCATAGGAGAAAAACCTCTCTTTTATTTATTTATTTTTTTTTTTTTTAAGAAAAATTCCCCAAGTAACAGAAAAGACCAAGAAAGAGTTTCTGGACTTAAGAAGTTCGAAAGCCCGTATTTCATTTTACTCACATAACCACCAATCTCTCCTGCATCACACCCAAGGGCTGCCACTCTGTCTCTGCCAAGCCACAGTTACATGAAAAGCCAGGAGAAAAGCTCTCTTTCTGACACAGGAGAGCCAGGAGACCAACCTTCTCAGCTCACGGAATCACGGCATGTGGGAGCTGGAAGGGGCCTCAGAAGGCCCTTCCCACGCCTTCACCCCACAAAACAAGACACAGAGGCCCACAGGAGGCAAGTGATTTGTTCGAGCAACCTCTGCCCATGAGTGGCGGAGCCGGCTGGGACTGGGCCCAGATCCCTTTCCTCCAGCCCCGTTTCTGTCGTGCCGGGAGCCCCCGGGGTACTGTGCACGAGGACTAGCTCCGTGCCCATGTGCAAAAGCCATTTCACAAATTTGCACAATGTGAACCAATTCTTCTAAAGCAAACATAACACTGCACAGTTGTGAGCACCGCTGGGGAGAGGGGCTCCCCAGAAACCGCTTGGCTGCTGGTCTCCAGATCATGGATCAGCCAGGACATTGTGCAGACAGTGAACATCAACCCAAGCCATTCTCAAAAAACTTGAACTCCCTATCAGAGCAGAAAAGGGAACCAACTCTTTCTTTTCACCATCTTTTCTTTTCCTTTTTTTCTTTTCTCACTCATTTTCCCCTGGCAACCACCAATCTGTGCTTTGTTTTCTATGAGTTCAGTTTTTTAAGATTCCACATATAAGTGAGATCATATGGTATTTATCTTTCTCTGACTTATCTCACTTTACTCTCTTTCCTTAACAGGCTGCTCCATTCCAATTTTTGTACTGGAGCATTCTCTGCGTGAGAAGCCTGGTACCACCAGCTCAATGGAATATCTCCACAACTGACTGATGGCTTGCTTGTCCAAACTCACCATTTTTTTTCTTCAAATACACACAGTCTGACTTGGGGATGAAGACAGAATAACATAAATGTCCCTTAAAACCAGAAGTCTCAACCAACTGCCCCAAAATCTAGCAGACCCCAAGAAACTCAGATCCAAAATGACCAAGTAATGGCAGTGGAAACATCCACGTGAGAAAATCGGCCATGAGGAGGGGGCTTCATAAAATCCAGCCTCGTAAACCTCAATTCCCCAAAGCCCCTTTCTTTGCTACCTGCAGCAGCCAAACCACCTCTCTTCCCGTGTCAATGTGTCCCTCCAAGGTGGCCATCACCTCCTGTCCCTCTAATGCCTAAAATGACAAACATCAGCCTCATGCTCCTGTCTACGAGAAAGTGAGGTTTGTATACCCAGGGCTCCTGGAACGGACCTCCTGTTTCCTTTTCTTCCTTCCTTCCTTCCTTCCTTCCTTCCTTCCTTCCTTCCTTCCTTCCTTCCCCTTTCTTTATCTCTTTCTTTCTTTTTTCTTTCTTTCTTTCTTTCTTTCTTTCTTTCTTTCTTTCTTTCTTTCTTTCTTTCTTTCTTTCTTTCTTCCTTCCTTCCTTCCTTCCTTTCTTTCTTTCTTCTTTCTTTCCTTCTTTCTTTCTCTCTCTCTTTTTTGTCTTCCTTTTAGTCCACCCTGTCATTTTTCTAAAATGGAGAAAAGGGGGGGGAAAGCAGAGAAGCACACGAACCTTCCCCGCAGCGATGTGAGTGACTGCTATGTTTCCATGGCTCGCTTTCCACTGTTCTCCGTGACCCCTGCAGACTCCCCTTGTGAGTGAGTGTCCCGGAATGTCTCTTTATTAGGTGTCTGGAGAAGTAAAGCTGTCCTGATGCCAGCGCCCCCACACTGAGGACTTTATTAGTTTTTTAATTTTCTGTCTGGGTGCTCCTGCCGCATCAAACTTTCCACAGCTGTTAGGAGCTATTAAGTAAGTAGCTTCATCGGCCCTTTCCCCACCCCACCCCCTCCTTAATAACAAGAGAAATTTCTGGACATGCTACATGGAGCCTTTAAAATAAAGATGCTTTGTGTCTCTGGGGAGAAATTGTTGGGGGTCTGAGTGGGGAGAGGATGTCCTGCCATCAGGAAAGCACCTTGCCTTGTGGGTGCCTTGGCTTGGAGCAGGGGGGCCATGCTGACCACACGGGGGACCGTGCAGAAGTGGGGAGCCACTCCCTCAGCCATTCTGCCCAGCAAGTAGGGGACCGGGGGTAGCTCCGACTGTTTTCAGAGCGGACTTGGAATCCGGCCCAGAGCTTGATGCCCGGTTCAAAGCGTTCCCTCCTCAGTGGACATTCTTAGACCTGCAGCGAAGAATAAAATAGAATGACTTGCAAACGTTCCCTGGGGTAGGCACACAGCTGTGGTTCTGCTCAACAGGCCTGGCTCTTATTGCTCACGTCTCCCCTGAGAAAGAACTCCTGATCCCCACCCGCCCCCAGAGCCCCCTCCCTGCCTGTGTCCTCCCTTGATGCCCTGAGCCCATCATCCGCAGGACTCCTTGTGTGTAAATCCAAAGATGGGTGCACGCACACACACACACACACACACACTCACTCAGACACTCACAGGGCCATGTACTATTCGACCGGGCAGCCGGGTCCTTACCCATAGCACCCGAGGATCTGGAAGGTTATGGCCACTGGGTGGGCAGAGGAGGGCAGACTAGGCGCTTGAGAGCCCAGAGCTTTCTGAGCATCCCTCCCGGCTCCAGCCTGCCCATTTGCTTTCCAGCGGCTGCCTTTAAGCCTCTCTTTGAGAAGACCTTATTTGCAGGGTGAATGTGAAAGCCCCGAGAGAAGAAAACCCTTTGGTGATGCCCGCCTCGGGAACAATTTTGCCTCTGAGAGCAAGTTGGTATTTGGGGTTAATCCCTCTGTGGAAACACTGGGTTGAAAGCCCAGAGGAGGTCAGGGGTCTGATTAGGGCTTCTGTTGACATATAAACTTCCTGGTCCTAGGAGACAGTCGCAGGGGTGGGGGCAGGGAGCAGGGAAGAAAAGAAAAGAAGAATTTTTTTAATTAAATGGCCTTCTCTCTTAAAAATAAAATCAACGAAATAAGGTAGAGCTTGTGGAATCAAGGTTTGATAGGAATGTCTAGGTACGAATATTTTATTTTTTCAGTCAAGATTTACATAATAGGACTGAAGCATCTTTCGAAGTAAAATTTGAAATGAAATGCTGATATATATACACTCATATATGTATACATGTAATATGTATGTATGTGTGAATAGGCATATTAAAAAAAAAAAAAAAAAAACAGGAAGAAATAAGTTTAGTTATCTCCCGAGAACCACAGGAATGGTTTTGTTGTATTTTTTAGAGTGGGCTCTGATTTGTGTTTAGTTTGGTTTGGTTTGGTTTGGCCAGAGAAAATCATCATGAAGACTCTACAACAGGCAGATAAGCTGAAAATGATGGTATTTAAGCCAACTAAAAACTGCTATAAACACATACATACAAGAGAAGCCTAGATGACAGTATTAAAGACAAATAATACTTTCAAAAGAATTAAGAGAATAAAAAGACTTCTTCCATATGCTCAAAAAAAGGCAAAGTAAAACTGTGCAGTTGAGGTGGGGGGTGAGTGGGGGAAGGGGTGGGGATGCCAACATGGTTATCCAAAAAAGAGCAGTTAATTTTTAAGATCTATAATTGGAACCATTTTTTAAATTAAATTAAATTTTTTTAAAAATTCAAGTATTATTAACATACAGTGTTATATTAGTTTCTGGTAACGAGCGATTTTTAAAAGGATTAAATTTAAAGACAAAATACTTTTTTTTTTTTTTTTTTGAGAAAAAGCCAGGGTGTCAAGAGTCTGTCCCAGACATCTTTAAGAACATTAAACAAAATATCCATGAAGAAACTGTGGAAACCCTATTGTTTGGGACATTTGCAACCAGATAAAACTCAGGGATGTAGGATTTAAATCCCAAACCATCCCGTAATAGAAGAGAGATCCCCAACCCTAATGTCTAGTCTCCTTTTGTATCTCTAGCTGGTGAAATTTTTTTGAGGCTTTTGCAAATATTAAAGATGCTTCTCACTGTTTACTTTGTTAAAGAAAAAGGAAAGCATTTCTTTAAGAAATGGTCACCTTTCCACTCTGAGTCTCTAGCTAAGGAATCTTGGAAAGCCAAGCATCTAACATTTTGAAAATGAATTTGTCAACAAAAGTAACCAAAAGAAAGAAAAAAGTGAACAAAATTTGAAATCAAATCCTATAGACCATTCATTGCCCCTTCGAAAGAATCGAGAAAATTTCTAATTCTTTCATTTTTCTCAAGAAATCCTATAATCTCCCTAATTCATCAGCTACTTGGTTCAGGCTTTGCCTACTTGGCCTTTTTCCTTTTATGTCTCTCACCCCCTAAATGAGAATGGTTTCTTGATATTTTCCAACACAAATTCCGTCAAAGCATCTGACAGCAGGAAGATGGCTGTTTCAGTAGCAGGAATAAAAAGGAGACTAGAAGGAAAAGGAATGACGCACAGAAGTTAGTAACACACCTGCAGATGTAGAGTTCAGAAGTTCACAGGCTAAGGAGGTCCAGCAAGGGCACTGCTGAAGGCACGCACTGTGGAGGGCACCCTGACACAGAGGTCTGCAGCTCTCAGGAGCACTGATTTCGGTCAGCCCCCTTGCAGGACCACTTCGAGAGGGCGAGGCTGAATACAGTGGCTGGATAAAAGGGAAAGAATTCGGGACCCACAGGCGAGTATCAGAGGTTGTCAGAAAGCTAGTGGTGAGTCAGAGGGTGACATGAGACTATGTTATACGGGCAGAAGCAAGCCTGACAGTGCGCTCCCCTTTAGGCTCAAAATGCCAAGTGGCTGGGCTCTGGGGTCTGCAGTGAGCTATGTAGTCAAGATGACTACATAATTTATTCCCCCATCGGGACACTTCTGAGAGTCAAAGTCCGGGAGTCTATTAGAATTATACTGGGATAACCCATACAAGCTGGGACCACCCCAGGCAAACTGGGATGATGCTGACCCTAATTATGAATCTCCCCAAAGTCTAGGAGATAAAGTTTAGCTGCCCTCAGAACTGACTGCAGACAAGGCTACCCCCACCCCCACCCCGGCTGAGCTCCTTTTCCCCAGGGGAGAGGCCTCTCCAATGGCAAGGAGTGGACCATGAGGAAGTGCCTTGGGCAAATAAGTGTGGGAAATGGACCATTCCTACTCCCACTCTCTCTGGGAGACTCACAATATACATATTAGTAAATTAGAGAGTTTGAGAAGGCCTGCAGTAAATTAAGCTACTTAGCATTGTTCAACCGGGGGTCTTCCCAAAGGTGTTTGACCACTATGAGATCGTTTGTCTGCAGAACTACCTAGAACATTCGGGCAAACTGAGCCTTTGGAAGCCAAGTGTACAGGGCAGGGCTGGGATTCCAGGCCCTCCCTGGGAGATGGAAGCTGGCAGAGTACGCAGGAGCTTCCAGAGCTCCTGAGGATGACACTAGCAGATGTTCAGCTGGGTCAGGTAATACAAGAACCTACCCAGGGACAGCCAAAAGGCCTGTAGAAACATGTCTGAAGCCAACCCACGCTGTGAGCACGGAGCCTTTGAGTTCACAGAAACGTAGGCAGGTCTCCCTAGCCCACATGAATCCATTTCCTCCAACAAGGAAGACAACAAGGACTGCACTTGATATTAAGGCAATGGTAAGCCTGACCCAAACTCGGCTGAGACAGAGAACCCCTGTCTCCCTCTAAGCGTTTCTTCCACGGGGACCGGAGGCTAGACTCACCCATCCTGCCATGTCTCTGGCATGCATGTCCTGTGGGGAGTGCCCCAGAGAGTGTGGGTGAGGCGGCCTCAGTCAGAACCACTCCAAACGAGCAGATGGGTTCTGGTGAAGGAGGTGAGGGGTGATGGTAGAGGCTAGGAGTCAAGCCAGAGATGGGCTGGACACCAGCTTAGGCACTTGTCATGGGGCATGGTGGAGCAACGCTGACACACAGCCCATGAGGCAGAGGCTACTGGTTCCAGGGACACTCCAACCGTTCTCACCTGGATTATCACGAAGTCCTCCGACAGCATCTCTCTTGGCAGGTCCCTCGCTCTTCCTGCTTGTCCTTCGTTTGGCAGCCAGAAACATACAGACTCAATGTTCAGAGCATCAAACAGTGAGTTGGTGAGCAGGAGAGCCCTACAGGAAGATCATGGTGGGGGCGGGGGGAGCAAAGGTCAATGATTCTCCTCAATGTCCAAACATCACATGGTGCCTGTCATGAGAACTCTCTAAGAAGACACCCCAATCTCTCCTCCCTTCCAGTCACTTCTATCCCCTCCACTCCATCTACTTATATGCAGCTGCTCTTCGATCCCCAAACATACCACTCTTCTCACAATCCCTTGCTTTTCCTATTGCTGTTCCTTGCCCATAATAGCCCTGTCTTCCTAGCTAAGTTTGACTCATGTACTTTAAGACCCACCTGAGAGTTCACGTTTTTAGCTGAACAGCCTTCCCCACTGCCCCTGTATCAATGCTACCCGAGCAGATTTCGAGCCTTCCTCCTCAGGGCACTCGCATCTCCTTGTTTGGCTCTTAGCACACCAGAGGCAGTCTCCTTGGCTAGACTCTGAGTGCCTGCTGGCAGGAAATTATCACACCAGTTCCCTTGTCCTTGGTGCCTACCCCAAAACCCATTGCAGAGTCCATGCCCGGTTACTGTGGGGTCCTGGAGAAACAAACACAACTCTGTGGAGTCACGTTCAAGATTCAGAGTTTTCCTCAGGCTTTAGCATTTTAAATTTGGAAATGAAAGGCACCAGAAATGTCTTTAGGTTAGAGTCTGCAGGAAATGATCAAAATGATGAAAATGTGAAAATGGTTCAGGACTCTACAACCATGGTCGAGCAAAAGGATGTTTGCTAGAGTTTATTATCCTGTGAGTTCATTTCTCAAGACGAATGGTAGCCTGAATGGCTAACACCATTTCAAAAGGAACAGAAGCCCACCCGCCTCAACCCCACCCAATAGTCGTGATCTCCATGAGTCCTTACAGGAAGCAGGTGTGAACATTGGGGTGAGCAGGTACTTTCAGCTCAAAGAGTAAGGATTTCTTTTTTTTAACTTTTTTTTTTTAAGATTTCATTTATTTATTTGACAGAGAGAGAGAGACAGCGACAGAGGGAACACAAACAGGGGGAGTGGGAGAGGGAGAAGCAGGCTTCCCGCGGAGCAGGGAGCCCGATGCGGGGCTCCAACCCTGGAATCGTGGGATCATGACCCGAGCCAAAGGCAGACGCCTAACGACTGAGTCACCCAGGCACCTAGGAGTAAGGATTTCTAAGATGGAAGAAACTTGGGGTGTGGGGAGAGGCAAGGACTGAAGTGACAAAGAAGAGAATCAAGGAGAATGACAGGATCTAGGAGGTGAGAAGAGGACCAGAAGACTTGACAATAAAAATACGAAGCTGCAAGGAACCCCAAAGTCCTCTCAGAGAAAAAGGATCCGGTCCAAGAAGTACCTATGGCACAAAGATCTAGAACACAGAAGTAGGAGGCAGGATGGACTCATCCTCAAGATGTAAAGCTGAGTAAGCAAGCCTGTATTTTTGCAGTTCTCTGGTTAATTTCCAGCCATAAGAAATACGGCCCAAGACTTCATAAAAATATCCCTAAAACAGTCCACATGCTTCTCAAGGCAGAGGTTAATTGTTACGAACAAATCCACACAAATTCTTGTGCCAAGAGCAACAAATTAAGAATAGAATAAAGAAGGAACAAGAAACATGAAAAAGGGGGCTAGTCAGAAACCAGAATGACAAACGTGGGCCATCCTCCCCTCCCAGCAAAACCAGAGGAAAGTGAACCTTTACAGCACCTCAAAGGCTTACTGCTATTAAGAAAGATCCAGCATAGCAGTCCTAAAGGATATTTTCATCATGGAGAAAGCTCCAGGAGCACTGCTGAGGGGGCATCATGTAGATCAGGGTCGTAACTCTGCACAATCAGTCCTTGGGATCACAGCCTCTAAGACCTGGAGGGAGATGACTAAAGTCAACCCCCATCCTATCTCTGCATCACCCCCATGGGCTCCTTCATGTGACTAGCCAGTTTCTGCTTCACCACTTTAAGGTATCTTGACTTACAGAAAGTTCTTTCTTATAATGAGCCAAATCTTTCCCCTGCAGAGTAGGGGCAGGGAGGAAAAGTTGGGGACTTAACAGAGTTGGCTACCTTTCTCTATGTCAGGTCCTCAAGAATATGAAAACAAGTCTAATGCTCCAAACCAAACATCCCCTTACTTCCTGTGACGTGAGCTCTAGTCTGTCGCTCTCTTGGCCAATGTCCTAGGGCCACGCTCTGGTTGGAACTGAGCACCAGGCCTAACTCCTGTCTGCCGTTGTGCAGCTATCTGTAGCCTGTTCTGGTGCAACCGCAGTAATATCTCAAAGAACAAGAGCGCACCCCCCAAAATCAGCCAGAGTTTGCGCTGTTCCTGCCAAAAATCCATGGGAAGGAGATTGGGCCCAGCAGAGGCATCCCTGGGCTAGTGTCATTCATCTCTCCTTTCCCCTCTCCACCTCACTGTGGTCCTTACGGTGCTGAGCTTGAACCAATGGCTCCTCTTCCATTCTCTATAGGTACAACAGTTCACCGTCCCAAGGAACCCTTCACTGGGAGGGTGCCCCTCACAAACAATTGCCCCCACAACAGAAGAGCTCATTAAAAGCACCGAGGAAGGCTGAGATGCACTGAGTAAGGAAACCTTCCTTTCCCCCTCAATAAAATGAGAGCCTAATCCACCACAGATGGAAATGGAGGGCGGCTCCCAGACTGGGCAGGGGTGGCTGGACTCCATGGCCTCCAGCACTGGCTCCCCAAGGCATCCCTTCCTTTTGGAGACCCCTCTGGCGTCTCAGGTCTGGAATCCAGCCATCTCTCTTAATGGAATCAAGCCCCAGCTTTCCAAGGCTGGCCCAGATCAGAGACTCTTCGAACAGGAGAGCACCCAGAAGGAGGCGGGGCTGTTCAGATGCAGCTGCATGGCAGGGCTGGCTCCTTGCTTTTGGGCAACACCTTGCCATTTAGTGACCGTTTTTCCATTTATCACATCATTTAGTTCTCAGCATAATCCAGTGATACAGATAGGGCAGGAGTTATTTTAACTTTCCTGATGACGCAACTAAGGCCTGGAAGAGAGAAAGCGATCTTCCCAATGTATACAACACATCAGAGTTGATTCTAGAACCAGGGTCTCTAGCCTCTGTCTGAGGGTCATGCACAGCTACACTAACGGTCATTTCAAAATGTCCCCATCTTAAATACTTGATACAAACACCAGCAGCCCGATGGAAAGTCTTAAAAGTTGACCCTTTCCGGGGACCTACTCTGGCTCCAAACAAGCAGCTTCCAGCCTGCAGCTCCAGCCCTCAACCCGTGATGGCGCAGTGACATCCTCTGTGATAAAAGGCATCTGTGAGGGGCCCACACGGCCACACCCTGGGGCACTGCAGGCCCTGCTGACTCAGGAGGAGCATTCCCACGGGTGACCACAGCCTGCTCCAGCCTGTTGCCCCGGGAGACAAGGGAATCAGCAAGCAAAGAGCTGCCCGCCCTGCCCAGCCTCTCAGGGGCCATAGCTTAGCCCTGCAGCTGGCAAGCACCCACCCCTTAGGTGTGACTCGGCCGGGTGCCCAGCCCTGCAAGCCCGTCCAGGTCTCAGTTCCCGGTAACACCCTCATGCTTCGCCCTCCTGCATATGGGAGAAGAGTCATCCATCTGGCAGCAGCCCAACTCAGCAGCTGATTGGAACAGGGAGCGGCAGAAACCTGCACCAGATCAACCCTTCTTCCGCGAGGTAATTCAAACGTGAGTTTGAGTTTGAAGCTTCTGTTTCAAAGGATTGAACGTCAGGCTCATATAATGTGTCTCTCTTCTAAACAAGTGCATTTTCTCTGCCACGAGAGGAGCACCTTCGGTGCTCTTCCACCCAGCATCCTGGAAAGACATTCCTGCAGGTGTCATTCAGCGAGCGTCTATCAGGGTGTCGTCACATGCATGTAATGAGGGGATGGCACTGGCTGCCCTATGGGCAACGTGCTAGGTGAAGGGCGATGTACAGATGCTAGAGAGAGTATAAGCTTTTCGGTTCAAATCCCCGTTCACTTGCTTAATGGCTTTGTGACCTTGGGCACATTACTCAGCTTCTCTGGGCTTGTTTTCTTCTCCGCAAAATGAGATACCAGTACAGCGCACAGGGTTAGGGGAGCTAAATGAGACGGTCATACCGAAAGCACCTGAAAATGGTGCTGCGACTATAAGCCCTTGATTAATGTCAGCCATTATTACAGGAGCATGTTGACTTAATCCTTTCAACAGCCCAAGGAGATGGGAACTATCATACAGGTGAGAAAATGAGTTCAGTGGCATTAAGCACGCTTCCCAAGGTCATAGCGCTAACAAGAGGCAAACTCAAGCCCCTAAACAAGCCCCATTCTCGCATGTACAGCACTGAACAGCGCAAACGTCTCCCAAGAACTCATTGTCTTATTTGGCAGGAGGGAATCAGTATTTGTTTTGTGCCTATCAAGTGCAGGACACTTGTTGGGGCTTTGCATATATTAACATAAGTAAACAAATAACTCCGGTTCAAATCAAAATGTGATTAGAGCCTCACTAAGTGCCACTGGAAGTCAGAGGAGGGCTCCCTCTTCCCTCCTCGGCTCCTGAGATGTGTGTGTGGATCAGGAGGTCAGGCAAGCTCCTGGACCCTCTGGCAGCAGGTTCATGCAGGCATCCCTAGTCCGTCTCCTTTGCACTATTCTGAGGTCACCAAATATCAAGCCTGTAAGAGCAAGCTCCACACAATTAAGAGTTTTACTCAAGTATCCCTACCCCCTGTCCTGGTTCCATCCTCAATAACCAGTATGGACTTAAAAATTGTTTTCTTACCCATCTCAGGAGGGCAACTCTACAGAGCAAAATAAATTTAACTCTAGGCACTTAACATTAATAATATTACTAAAGGTAGTAAGTATTCAGAAGAGATAAGATATTTCAAGGGAACGGTGTCTTCACTAAAATCTAAAATGTGGATTTGAACCACCATATTTAATACATAGCCTGGAAAAATCCATTCAAATGTTTCTTTATAAAAATTTGGGAAACATTAAAATGTAAAGAAATTTGAAATGTTCTTTTTTGCATAATATAAACTTGCACATTCAGTCTTACTCGATTTTGTTTCACATATACGCATATATCCGAAAAGCCTGAAATACATCAAAATATTAATAGTGGTTACCTCTGGAGCATGACTTAATGGAAATTTTATTTCCTTCTTTATATATTCCTGTATTTTACAAGTTGAATATAGTAAGTCTGTTATTTTTATAATATAGAAAGATACAAAATTTGTTTCAGTTTTAAATTAGGTCAAGGGAAAAGAGATTTGCCCATGTTGGCAACCAGTATTTTAAACTTGTGAAAAAGTCTAAGAATTCAACAGTGATAGGAAAAGAACTAATTAAGAAAAATCAAGAGGGAGTGCCGGAGAGAGAAATAGGTGAAGCAATTTAAGAGGTACAAACTTCCAGTTATAAAGTAAGTAAGTCACAGGGATGAAAAGCACAGTATAGGGAATATAGTCAATAATATTGTAATAACATCTTATGGTGACAGATGGTAACTACACTTATCTTGGGTGAGTACTTCATAATGTATATAATTGTTGAATCACTATGTTGTACACCTGAAACTTATATAACATTGTATGTCCACCATATTTTACTCAAACAAAGAAAAATCAAGCAATGAGTTAAGGAATATAAGGGGATCATAATATATAATGTCTTTATAATTTAGCTCAAATTTTTCAACAAAGGACTAATGATACATGTGCAACAGACTCTGTTTGGCTGTTTGTATCCATTTACAAAAGGTATAATGCATGCAAACCTATTTCTAGTTTTAAGCAATAGTGTTTAACTTTGGGGAAGAGGAGTCATAGACTCATTTGAGAATCAGTGGAGAGCCACAAACAATAAGCCTTTCCCCACAATGAGGACAGAAACACACACACACACACATACACAAACGCACACCACACCTCAGAAGTTTACATATAAATTTAGAAGCTTCCTAATCCTTGATACCCATCCACTTCTTCCCTGGAATCCATGAAACACAGATCAAGAAATTCTACACCAAGAATTTTCTTCTTTCAATCTTCCCCAAGTTTTGAATTAGGATTACGTTCAAGCACTGAGAAAAACTGAAAGAATAGAACAATGAACATCCATACACGTTCCACTTAGATTTAGCAGTTCTTGACATTTTTGTCATATTACGTTTATTTACACATTCACTGAAGCATTTGAAAATTATAAACATTATAACACATCACCCATAAACACTTCAGCATGTGTTCCTTAAGAATAAAGACGTTCTGAGCGCCTGGGTGGCTCAGTTGGTTGGGCGACTGCCTTCGGCTCAGGTCATGATCCTGGAGTCCCTGGATCGAGTCCTGCATCGGGCTCCCTGCTCGGCGGGGAGTCTGCTTCTCCCTCTGACCCTTCCCCCTCTCGTGCTCTCTCTATCTCATTCTCTCTCTCAAATAAATAAATAAAATCTTTAAAAATAAAATAAAATAAAAAAATAAAATAAAAAAATAAAAAATAAAAAAGAATAAAGATGTTCTGGGGAGCCTGGGTGGCTCAGTGTTTGAGTGTCTGACTCTTGGTTTTGGCTCAGGTGGGATGATCTCTGCGTGGGATCATGCCCCGCATTGGGCTCTGAGCTCGGTGGGGAGTCTGCTTGAGGTTCTCTCTTTCCGTCTCCCTCTGCCCCTCCCCCACCCCGCTCTCTCTAAAATAAATCTTTAAAAAAAGGAATATGCTCTTCTCCATAACAACAAACAAATTACACCCAAGAATATTAACAATAATTGTGTAGTATCTATTCTCATAAACCTTTTTCATATAATAAGAAGTCATGAAGAAGCTAAAGTCCTAGGAGAGGGCATAAGAGCTGCAGGTGATGTTCAGAAAGACTGTAGAGATGTTGCCCCGGAAAGAGAAGTGAGCAAAAGCATCTGTGTCCTGTGTCTCAGCAGATCTCTGGGCAGGAGCTTCCATGCCCACCACACCAGGTCCAGAGAGAACATGCGGCCCAAGTCCTTACAGCAAAGGAGGAGACTCAGCAGGGCAGCTGCCCGGCCGGTGGCATCCCGTCCAGTGGCATCCCGTCCAGGGCACGCAGGCTCTGACCTGGGCTGCAGGGCGGCCACAAATGCACCTCTTCTACATTCTCCGTCACAGACAAAGCCAATGACCCATTTCATGGTGTCCAGGTCGGCACCTCCCAGCGAAGGAGCCATCAGTAATCTCCCCCCAGTTCCTGGTCTTCAGCTTTCTCTCATCTTCCTGCCAATTCTCCCACACCTCACGACAACTGACAGGCTTGGCTGAACTTAGCCAGACCCAAGAAATCTGACTAGGCCAGTGTTAATCCTCTCTATTCAAACTGGACTTGTTTTTTCAACCTGATGGCTTTCTACAGTGATTTCCAAATGCCAGGAAATTGTAGAGTTCAAAGGTTAAAAAAAAAAAAAAAAAAAGCACACCCATCCCTGCCCTGCCATAACCTCCACATCAACTCCGCACGTAAATTCTCCTCAGATCCCCCCAGCACTTGCAACATAGCTTGTCTGTGCTTGTTCTTTTGACGTTGTTCTTCCATTATTTGCCTCCCCCACTAGACTGAGCTCCTTGAGAACAACAACCCTGTCCTTTTCAACACTGTACCCCACAGTGGGTCGAATGGTGACCCCCAAATGATATGTCCAGGTCCTAAGCCCCAGGACCTATGAATGCAGTCTTATTTGAAAAAAGGATCCTCACAAATGTAATTGAATTAAGGATCTCCAGATGAGATTAGCCTGGATTATCCAGGTGGGCCCTAAATCCAATGTCAAGTATCCTCATAAGAGACACACAGAGGAGAGACACTCAGGAAGCAGAGGGTCCATACGAAGCTGGGGGCACAGACCCCAGGGATGTGCCCACAAGCCAAGGAACTCCGGGAGCCACCAGAGGCTGAAGGAGACAAGGGAAGAGTCTCCTCTAGAGACTTTGGAGGGAGGGTGGCCCTGCCAACACCTTGTTCCCAGACTTCTAGCTTCCAGAACTGTGAGGGAAGACATTTCTGTTGTTTTAAGCCTCCCCAGTTTGTGGTGATTTGTTACAGTAGCCTTAGGGAATGAATATACCCTCGTAGCACTGTCCCTGAAGAATAGTTTAAGAAAAGCATATTTGCTGAAGGATTGAAAAAGCTGAGGGTGTGGCCTTCTACCTTTCTCATACCCCAGGGACAGGGAAGCATCTTTGAAGGCCCCTGGACTCTGGCTAACAAATATGTAAGGATCTCTATTCTGGTGTCAACTGAACAATGTGTTCCTTTAATGAGGTGTTTTAATCTCACTTTATATTCATTGTTCTGCCCGCCTTGATTTTACTGTAAGTGACTGGATTGACTTTTGATGTATTGCCAGCACACTATAAATTATGAGCCTCTTTCTTTAAGGCTGGAGAGGGGAGGAACCCTACTTCCCTGTTCCGTTATTTCAGGCAAGGGTGGGAGCAGGTTTTCTGCGCCAGCAGCATCCTGATTATGATTCAGGATGTGCAGCCAAAGGCAAACAGTTCCTCTTCAAATTCAATCAAATAGGAAGGAGCTAAGGCCCAAACAAGAAAAGCCGGGTTCTCTTTGTGTGTGCAGCCAAGGGGTCCTGGGAAGCTGGTGGAGGATGACGCCCTATCCCAGGCTGAGCACGACCGAACTTACAAAGTACTCGGGAAATGTCTGCACACATTCGTAACGGGATTCCAAGCCTGACCTTACAGAGCCCCAGTCCAGACAATCCCAAATCCACCACCGGGGGAGTTACTTGCAGGCTATAAGGACAGAGGTTAACCAGATTTAAAACACCTATTTTTAATGTCTTCTTGGAAAAGATTCTGTGTGCCACTTCCCGCCGTGGACTGTGGCCATGAGGGGCCCTGATGATGGCTTCCGCGGACATACTGTTCTGTGCACCTCAGAGCAGTGACTTTTCACTCGATAAGTCATGACCCCTTAATGGATTGAGAAATCCATTTAGTGAGAAGTGTCAGCACTTTTGCTTAAATGAAATAAAAGAGAAGAGCAAGTATCAGAGTGTATCCTGCACAGGAAGGGTAACTATTGTATCGTGAAATGTTGCTTCAGTTTCAAATCTATATATGTGTCATATATTTGTGATAGAAAAGGGACTCCTCAACTGAGTATTGTAATACAAAAAAAAAGTTTGAAAGCCACTGTCGTAGAGAATCTGATCCACCAAACCAGAGAGAACTCCTTCCTCTTGTCCATGTCCCAGTTTTTAAGAAGATATTAGCAGTTATGATGGGCAACTCAATTAACGGGAATAATCCATTCGCTAGCTCATAAGAGAGGTTGCCATACACAAGCAGAAGCATCCCTTCCCATCAATCCACTGGAGTGCCCTCCTCCTGTTGGAGCTCTACCATGCCTGAAGCTTGGCCCCCGATTCTTATTTCTACCCTTTGGTAGAGTCTCACCTGGTTCACTTCCATCTTCCCGGGACCCACTGTCATTCCTTGATAGTCCTGGAATTCCCACAGCCTTTCACAATTACTCTGCAACAGACTCAGACAGTCTCTGAGGAGGGAAAGGAACCACCTTAATTTCTCTCACCAACCATCCTCTTTATCTTCCTGTGCCTAAGTGTCCAATTTCCCCTTTCACCAATGTGCCAGGAAGATGGTCACTCTGGCTTCCATTAAGGATTCTCTCTCACCCACGAACTTGCTGACTCTCCTAGCCCAGCGGTCCGATACTCTGGCCCATGTCCCACCACTGCGCCTTGTCCCCTGCAGGGTCTGCCTCATGGATCTGCTACTAGTGTTCTGATCACTCAGGAAGACGGTAGCTAGAGCTTTCCGATCACACATGGTTAAGAACGGTGACTAACCGGGCTAGCAGAGCGGTGTAGGCTGGAGCGTGCACTTTGGCTTCAGCAGAACCAGGTCCAAGTTTTGGTGCTCTTGCTTTCCTGGCGGTTGACCTTGAGTACATTGTTTAACTTCTCTAAAGCCTCCTCTGTAAAATCAAGATAATGCTAACACCCATCTCACAGGATTTATGAAAGCCCATTTTTTTTAAAAGATTGAACTTTCTGTGATGAATCCCTCTTGTGCATCTTATGAATGGACTTCACAAAAAGGTCTTTATTCTCTCCATGCTTTCAGGAATCTATATTACTTTGGCAAAGTATGAAAAACAGAGAATTTCTGAAAAATATGTATGTCTAAAAAGTCAAGCCATTCCTAATACCTTAGATTTATAGAAAGTAAAAAGCAAGGAACAAGGAGGGAAAGAAGGAAGAGAAAGAAAGTTCTACATATGGTCTGACCTCCTGCGATGTGCCACAGGGGTCTTCTCATTCTTGCATTAACACCAGGCCGTGCACATCTTTCTGCCAGCAGCCTGGTCTGGCTTGCCGGGTCTGCAAGTCTGTTTCAGCACAAAGGATCCGCTTAATGGAAAGCAAGTGTGCTGAGGAAGAACCAGGCTCACATTTTCTTGTGCATTCTTTGCACAAAATAAAAACGATTCAATAACCCAAAATAACTGAGGTCGTGTTTGAAGGAACTGCCCTTTACATCTGGGACTGGTCTTTCTTCTAAGGTGGCCATAGATGGTGACATAAAAAAAAAAAAAATGCAGTTGATTTTTAAAGGGTTTTAAAAACCCTCAATAATGCATCCGTGGCACACCAATAGGAAAAATACTAAGGCTCCCATTTTCTCTAAAGGTCAAAAACATAAATAGACAATTCAGAGAAGAAATTAAGTTGCTAATAAATATATAAAACTAAGTTCAACGATGATCAAAGACACATGTAAAAGCAAAACTGAAACTCTACTCAAATTTGTAAATACTGAAAGCAATACTTAACGTTAGTGTAGGAATGAGAAATCAGGCATTTTTCTCTGTTGATGGGAAGAGAGAAGATCAAACTTCTGACAAAAATTTGGTAATACAAATCAATAACTTCCAAAGTTCCATACCCTTTGGATAATAATTTAATTTCCATAAGTACACTAAAGGGGAATCACCAGACAAGTAGGTATGTAGATACATGCATAAAAATTCTCACTATAGTCATGTTTGTAATAGTGAAAAATTATAGTCTACATCTCTAATAAGGAAATTGATAAATCAATGATGGTTTCGGGCGCCTGGGTGGCTCTGTTGGTTGAGTGACTGCCTTCGGCTCAGGTCATGATCCTGGAGTCCTGGGATCAAGTCCCGCATCGGGCTCCCTGCTCAGCAGGGGGTCTGCTTCTCCCTCTGCCCTCTTCCCTCTCGTGCTCTCTGTCTCTCATTCTCTCTCTCTCAAATAAATAAATAAAATCTTTAAAAAAAAAATCAATGATGGTTTCTCACTCTGATGGAATATTATGCAGTCATTTAAATTGTATTTTAGGAATATTTAACGACATAGGCACAGCTGTAGGGTCTAAAACTTTGCACATAGAATGTTCCAAATTAGGTAAATAGAAACATAGATAAAAGAAGGTCAAAATGAAATATACTAAAATATTAACGGCAATGATCTCTGGATGGTAGGGTTATACATAAATTTATATTTTATGTATTTCCAAGCTTTGAAAACTGGGCATGTATAACTTTTATGGTTATATGTTTGGATTACTACCATGCTATACTAGAGCTCTTGCGAGAGTAAGCTGACTAAATGCACAGACATTTAGCTGTCAACTCCAATGTCCCGATTGGTGGGAAGGATTGCATGTATTCTAATGATCCCATTCCTTAAGGGGTACAACACATACAGGGATGAACAATCTGAAAAAAAAAGAATCAAGGATAATCCATAATCAGTATAGGATATGATCAGCACAAAGCCCTCCACGTTCAGGCACATCTCAGAGATATCGTGGGTTCAGTTCCAGACCATGGCAATAAACGAATACCACAATAAAGCCAGTCAAATGAGTTTTTTGGGTTTTCCAGTGCATGTAAAAGTTATGTTTACACTATAGTGTAATCTATTAAGTATGCAAGAGCATTATGCCTTAATTAAAAAGCACTTTATTGCTAAAAATGCTATTATCTGAGCTTTCAGCAACTCATAATCACTGATCACAGATCATCATAACAAATATAATAATAATGAAAAACTTTAAAATATGGTGAGAACTACCAAAATGTGACACAGAGACATAAAGTGAGCAAATGCTGTTGGAAAAATGACTAGCTCCACGCAGGGTTGCTACAAACTTTCAATTTGTAAAAAAATGCAATATCTGGGAAGTGTGATAAAGGGAACCATAATGAAACAAGGTATGTCGGTAGTAGGTACTCAATAAACTATTTACCTTCTCTTTAGTAACAGATGAACAGAATAAGCAGTAAATGCTACTGTGATCAGATGGGAAGAATCCTGTGACCCTGAGGAGAGAAAAGCACACTGTCACGGAAGGGTCCGTAGAAAGCCTGGTCCTTGCACTGGAGCTTAATGGAGTGGCTAATTGTGTGCAAGTGTGGAGGGTGGGGGAGGGGAGGACCTGTGGTGGAGACAGGCATTCCTCCCGGGCACCCCAGAGTTACGGCTCATGGCCTCCCTGGCCTGGCAGTTTCAACATACTCCTTTCAAGCTATGCTAGAGCCTCCTTAAATATTTATCCTCTTCCTAAAGCAGCAAGAAACAAATGGAGGCACGGGACTGTTGGGATCCCCAGCAAGTGGCAACCGCTGCTCAAGCATGTCCATCCCTTGGTCATAGTTTCTTCTGAGTGCTGATGAGGCTGGATCCTGAGGAACCAGTCTTTTTTTTTTTTTTTTTTTAAGATTTATTTATTTATTTGAAAGAGAGAGCTAGTGAGAAAGAGAGTTCAAGCACGGGGAGAGGGAGAAGCAGGCTCCCTGCTGAGCAAGGAGCTGGCCGTGGGGCTCCATCCCAGGAGTTTTTCAACTTTCAATGAGTACTTTTGACTTCTCGGACAGCTGTATGAATTTTTGTGAATTTGCATGGTATAGATTCCTGAGTTTTATAAACCAATTAAGCTCCCTACTAAAAGAAATGCCTCGCCTCCTGACCATTTTGTGCTTTGTAACTCCATGGGTTGGCAGTCTGAGAGACCAATTCTCTTTTGGCTTCCAGTTGTCTTAGAATGTGTGTGTGTGTTTATATTTTGGTGCTGAGTTATTTTCTAAGAGAAAGTCCTTGCTTTATCATCACTTTGTTCATTTTCCCCTGGTGACCAGGAAGATCAGAGCTGAATTTAGTGTCCAGAAAAGCCAACCTGGTTATGTTACAATCCTCTTTCAGCAATTCTTAATCTTTTCTGGCTCACAGATTTCTATGGGAATTTGACGGAAGCAAAGAGGAATCCCCCAGGAAGCATTTATATATGCCCACAACACATATGCGTAGAGTATGTTCTGATCACTCCTTTTGGAAATCCTCAACTACAGTATTTTATGTTTTATTTGTGTTACTTTCCAGTGCCTCAAATGCTGACGTACACAAGAACTTCAAGACACTGGGGAGATGCTGACAAGAGTTAGAAGGGTTTGCAAAACAGAAGAGGTAGTCAGCACTTTCTGAGGAAGAGTATTTCTCCGGGAGTGGATCGCAACTTAGTCCTGTAGTCTGGGGTAAAAGGACCAGACCAAATTGAAGTCCTGATTTTATCACTAGCAGGTTCTGTCTTGAACATACCTTTGCACTTCAGTGAGCCTCCGCTTCCTTAGCTGTAAACTGAGAACACTCCATGGGGCAGTGGGAGATTAAGGGGAAGACTCAATGTTGGAAGAGTTGGCTACACTGTAAAGTGTGGTGCCGTTGAGGGGATCCAGTAAGACTGGTTCCTCATGGGGGCACCTGGGTGGCTTAGTCAGTTAAGCGTCTGCCTTCAGTCAGGTCATGATCCCAGGGCTCTGGGATGGAGTCCTGCATCGGGCTCCCTGCTCAGCGGGGAGTCTGCTTCTCCCTCTCCCTCTGCCTCTGTTTGCTCTCTCTCTCTCTTTCTCTTTCAAAAAACAAAACAATTTAAAAAAAAAATAATAATAAATTTGAAAAACATGAAGCCAGCAGAAAAGAGACTTGCCCTAAATATATTTGGGAAACGTAGCTTAGAATCCACATAAACATGCTGGAGGTATGTATCAAATGTTGCCCTCCCCCCCAAAAAAGGTCCCAAATTATCCATTTTCAGAAATAGAAAACTTGTACATTTCATATTAACATTCAAATAATTCAGTTGCTAGTAGCTGAAGAAGAGTTTAATTTCTTAGCCATATAAAGGCTCTGCCTTTCTAATCTGGTTTACTCTGTTAATCTACTTACTATACCTTTCTTCAAAGATAATGAAGTGGTGAGTGCCCGCCTCCTTTCCAGGTCTATTTTTCCAAATCCGGAATTAACAGGATCCTAATAAATAAAAGGGTTTGTTAGTAGAATTGGATTTTTCGGTCTTGAGGGGTTTTTGTTGTTGTTGTTATTGTTGTTGTAGTTTTGTGGGTTTTAAAAAAAATCCAGAGGTTCTCTTTTCCTCACTCTATTTAACCCTGGAGAAAACGAAGTTTAAAAAAAGCATTCTTGGTAAGGCGACTTTCACAAAGCCAGTGGAACCACAAAGCCTCCCCCAAGGCTAAATCTCGCCTCCGAGCTGGTTGGTGCGAAAGTCCAGAGTTAAGGGGTCCTTTCCTCTGGCCCTTTGAAATAGACGTAATTAGCGCTTACGCAAAGGTGATGATACATTGGTATCATATACAGCAGGAGCCAGCAACTATGTCCTGTGCACCAGAGACCATGTGTCCTGCACAGACACCACTGGCCCCTTCCAGACAAGACTCGCCAACCCCTCCAAGCGTCTCACCTTGATCCTCAGGACTGCCTACGGAGAAGCAGCCTCTTGCTTCATGGTCACACGGATTTCGGAAAGAATGAGTGTTTGAGATTCCTTCTGGAATACTACTTGCAAAGAATACCAATGTACTGGGGTGAATGAGGGGACTGGGGGGAGGGGGCTGTAGGGAAGAGGGTTAGGAAGGTGACCCCAAAAGGAGAAAATGAGTCCAAAGGAGGGAGAACTGCCAGTGTCTGAGCACTAGTGCTGAACAGGAAGGCACGAAGCCGCAACTGCCCCTCCTGCTGTTGTCCCCTCCCCACGCGCCCCCTAATGTCCTTGGTGCACACGGGGGCTGGGGGGGAGGGGGGGAGAGGGGGAAGAGCCAGCTGGGCCCAGCTCCTGGGAGACAGCCGCCTGCACCTTCTCCCAGCTCCATGGGCAGTCACATCACACTGGGAGGTTGATAGCAGCTACGATAGGAATATTTATCCCAGAAAAATAGGCAGAAGCTACAAATCAGAGCTCCCCACGCCCCCGCCAAGAACTGACTGTTATCTCCCAGCACAGCCCAGCACATCCAGACGTAAGAGGAGGCTGCGGTGCCCCTCCCCGCCCAGCTGAAGGGGTGCTGGCTGCTGCCAGTTCCCAGCTCTGTCCCTCTCCCTTGGAGAACTGCCTGCAGCTGAAGGTCTGCCCTTTCCCTGTGGCACCTCCTGCAAAAGCTAGCCCCTGCTGGGTGAACAAGCCAGACCCAGCTCAGTTCAGAGGCACTCCAGCTCTGAAGTCCCCTTTGGGTTCAGCTGAAGCCTCTGTTGCAATTGTCTCAGAGAGACAGAGTGACTGAGGGACCCAAATGTTCCCCACCAACTTCCTTCTTCATCCTCTCCTGTCTTGAATGATCTGTGTTGTTTAAGGTTCTTTCTAGAGTATTTTTCTCAAACAGGTGCCTGGGTACCTGGGTAATGCATTTTTCCCCCTGACCAGCAGGATGCATTTTGGCTGGCTCTAGGATTTTTCAGACATCAAGTTCCCATTATTAGAGGTGTGATAGGTGACCCCCACCTCTTTCCTTTTCCTTTATAACTAACGTTTCCCTCTTTGTATTGAAGAGGGAAGGAGGTTCTCTTTACACCTGCCTTTCAAGAATTGTATCTGGCTGGGCTTAGGTGTGTGGCTTTTCATCCCAGTGACCCCACGAGTTCATTATAAACCTCAGACCCCAGTCTTTTTCATGCAGGGCCGTTGTCTTCTATCATTTGCCTAATTTTTCCCTGTCCTTCAGCTGTTTCCAACTGTTTCTTTTTCTCCTCCCGGAGCTCCCGTGATTGACATCTTAGGTGTCCCGCCTCCAGCCTCCTGGGCTCCTATTTTGCCCACATGATTTCCATCTCTTTGTATCCTTGTTCTGTGTTTGGGATATTGTTGTACTTGTTCTTCTAAGTCTGTATTCTGCTTTAATTAACTCAATTAGTATTTTAGTTAAAAATATGTTTTAATTCCAGGAAGTCTTTTTTTTTTTTTTTTTCCTGGTACCGTGTTTGAATGCCCTTGTTAATTCTGCTCAGGCTTTCAGTGCTATTTTCAGGAAGAGCTGTTTGGTGGGCTCTTCTTCTCCATCTCTCTGCCTGCTGAGCCCCCTCACATGCACAGTTTTCTTTTATCTGTCCTTTGAAGCTCAGGGCCAGCTTCTAGGGGTTCCTTAAGTGACAACAGTCCTGCGGGGAGCTGCAGATAGGGCGTCAGTTCCGATCAAGGCACCAGGAGGAAGGAAGCCTCTCGGCTCCGCTGTCTTCCCAGGTTCAGCTTCTCCTCAACAGCCTGGCACCAAGGAGGTGGCTCATGAATGCTGATGGAGCCCAGGGCCCACCACAGGTAGAGCCTCATCCCCACACTATCTGTGGGGTCAAAGTCCAGCTGCAGCTCCCGTCCCCAGGTCTCTAACTGAGCCCTGCTCGCCCTTGCTCCTCCAGGCTCCACCTCCATCGTTCCTAGCGGTTGCTTCACCAAGAGAAGTACCAGGTTGGAGCTGGAAGTTAAGGGCAGCCAGTGCACCATCTTATGAAAATCTCCACTCTACCCCCAGCCCCTTAATAAAAACGAAGGGCAAACTTGATCTGCCGTCCCCAGCCGATGCCTAATTTGCATTAAACTCTTTGTTTTCCAGGGGTTTCTTTGGGGGAAGTCCTTCAAAGTTATGTGTAATAATTAAATCTTTTTTGAATAATTGGATTTTCTTTAAAATTGCGATCACTGGGAAAATAACTGGGCGAAAAAGGTAGAGTACAAGATGCATGTATGTGTGTGCACGTGTGTGTCTGTGTATCTCACATCCACGGACCTACAAAATACACCCAGAAAAAAAGTTCGCACGAAAATTGTTATCTGTAGATGATGAATTTATAAATAAATTCTACTGTCTTCTGTTTCTCATCCAAATTGTCTATTAGTTCTTGCTTATGAAAGGTAAAAGAATTGTTCTCTTCAATTGTTAAGTCAGCAAAACACATTATAAAATGTTGTTTGATGCTCACAAGCCTTTCTCGAGAGTGTGAGGAGGGCGGTGGCCTACAGCCCTTAGCCTCTCCGTCTCAATGTCTGTACAACAAGGACCCATCTTGAGGACTCCATGCTTTCAGTGGACCCACACCAGGCCATTAGTAATGTGTGAGGGCAAAGGAGAAGCACAGATAGAAGCTTCTTGCCCACAGTCACCCAGGATGGCCCCACCTAGGATAAACCCAGGCCTGGAATGGGGTTCAAAGGCAAAGCTCAACCACCCCAGATTTCCCTGGTCTCCCCGAATGTCTAGCGGACTGGAGAGTTTCTCAGAGCAGAACCATTTCCAGTTTACTGCTGAATCTCCAGCACCAAGGACATGGGTTGGCACTTACTGGTCACTCAGTAAACAGTGGTTGAATGAATGAATGAATGAATGAGTGCATGCATTCATGACCTCTCACCTCACTTGATACTATAGGACATGTTAGCAGATGGCACTGCTTGTTTCGGGGCTATCTTTGGACTTGCAATCCCATCAAAGTAAGGAACAAAAATCTGAGATGTGTAGAAAGATTTCAGAGCTCAACAAAGGGGGTTCAGACTTTCATTTGTTAGGAAGATTTCAGCTCCTGTTGGTTCCTATAGGAGGCTTCTTTCAAAGAGCTCAGCTCCCCGGCAATGGGCATGACCTACAAGGGGCTGGCTCTCTCCTGTGGGGGTTGATATAGAAGGGGCCGTGCTGGCTGTAAAGAAAGACCGAATGTCCTCTAAGTTTCCTTCTGATTCAAACGCTACAGCAAATGCAATTCCTGCTGGGGAAACATTATGCAAATGCGTCTTTTTCTCCCCAAACTATTCTTCAACCCTGACGTCATTCCTGTGTTATCAAAGCCCTTCTTTGAAGCGGTCAACTAGGATTCAAGGGAACAGCTGGGTCCGTCCTTGCAGCAACCAGGGGAGTGACAGTCACCTGTTAAGAAAGCCTCCTCTGGGTGCCCTGGCCTGGTCTGGGACCGGAGAAGGGGAGTCTTGTGGAACTGTCGCTGGTCTGTTCCACAGGTCTTTGCCGGACCTAATCCCCAGGAAGACACGCTGTAGGACCGGTGACATTCTCAGTATGTAACCACTGCAAGGACACTGGCCACTCCAGAACGATGCGACACTGGAGACATGGCCTAGAAGGGTATCTGCAAGCAGCCTGCGTTTGCTCCCTGGATCCTGGGGAGGTCCTGGCTGGGGGCCGGGCGGCCAGGGCAGCAGGGGGCACTGAGGAAGCTAAGAGCGACAGCTACTGAGTAACCGGCACAGAAGGCTCTGAAGAGTGTACGAACCAGAATGGCCAGCCCAGCGCACCAGCTAGACATTGGCCCTGCTCTAAAACCACTTCGGAGCAGGGTGACCTTCTGGCACAGGAGGCAGCCCCTTTGCTCCAAGCCACATTTTATGGAGTTCTTTTATTAGTCTCGCATGTAACCCATAGCCACATCATAAAATTAAACACCCCATTCTGTACATCCAGTCCACTGGCTTCTTGAGCCCTGATTAGCACTGGGCTTTTCCCTTTGGGGGTTGTATTACAGTAACATTAAAACTTACGGAAAAGGAATCTTTGCTGGGAGCAGCCAAATCCTTCTGACCTCAGTTGACGCCCTAGCCACGGTGTCACCCAGTTTCTGAAGCCCCTTTGCCAGTTGGTCTCTCTCGGCTTCTTTCATTCCTACCCCTCCCCGCCCCGCCCTCCGGGTCCCTTCCCCGTCCCCAGGCCCTCCAGTGATGAGCCTGGGTGCTCCGAGCCTGGCCTGGAGGCAGCGGTCAGGGTAGCCCCAACTCACCCCGGAGAGTAAATTTAGCCCGTGGGTGAGATCCCAGATGGAGAGGTTATCTTTAGCCTGGCAGAGGTGAGCAGTCAGTCTGGGCCGCGCAGTGAACCAGCAGAGGGAGCGGGGAAGGAGGAAAGGGAAGGAATACTCGAGAGTCGACAATAGCCGTGCTCACGTGTACTCAGGTGGTAGAGAACTCGGAGTCGGGGCGTGCTTCCTTGAAACATGAGGCTGTTCCGGGAACACCCTGGAATAATAGCCTGTTTCATTCCATCCATGAAGGAGGAACAATTTTAATAGCAGAAACTACGGCTACATTATGGGCCGGCAGTATAAAACTGCAAGCACACGTGTTCTTTAAAAAAAAGGAACAAACTCAGCAAGATCGGTGGTTTTCAAGCTTTCCCATTCATATGTTTACTGCTTGTTCATTAGTTTTGTTGCCTGCAGGTGCTAAAGGTTTAAGAGTCAAAAAAAAAGGCACGGAAATAAAAAAAAATTTACGTGGAAAAATCACATTACCTGAATTAGGGGAAAGGCCACCACCATTCGATTTGAAAGGTAGGACATGTCAGTCGGCCTCAGGAATACCAAGGAATCAGCTTCGAAAGAAGTAGGATGCCTTTTCCTAAACTATTCTAGAAAGACCGTGGACTCTTCCTTAGGGAGATCAAAATACCTTTCCTTGTTATCATCCCAATACAAGAAATCCTTCTTCCTTTTCACTCACTGAAATCTTTCCTCATACCCACAGCCTCTTGTTTGGCCTTCCTTATTGAACAGTTCATCGGCATCTTACTTACTACCAGGGGAAACTGAGCTCCCAGTTTGAACCTGAGCTGGAGATCTGACGTGTCTGGGCTCGTCTGCCTGACAACTACAGGAGAGGCCCCGGAGCTTCCGGGAGGGAGCCTGTTCTATGGGAAAGGGGACCCGAGGAACCTGGACTAACCCAGCAAGGCAGTCCTGTCCAATGGAGGAGAAGAGCAATTAATTCTGAGTATCCCTTGGCCAAACATGCATTGGACATGAGTCTTATCAGGAGCAGCAGGACCATAAGGAAAAACTGGGAAGACCATTGCGTTGGAGTTTTTCGAGAATTCAGAGAACAGACAGTAGAGCTTTGGGACCTCACTACTGGAACTTTGTGCAGAGGGAAGGGAGACAGGCAAAGAACCTTCTTCCTCATTCCCCAGAGCTTTGGCTTCAGAGTGCCTGGGGGGGCCCAACTGTGACTTGCGTGGCTAGCAGGGACAGGCCCCGGGGGCTCCTAGGACAAGTCAGAGAGGTTGTACAGGGGGCTGGAAATCCTTGGCTATAGGCAGCCATAGGGTCCAGGGCCACAAAGAAGACATCTGTCCTCAGAAAGTGAGACCTGGGACCACCCAGCTGACTTTGCCACGCACTTAAATAATTAAGTCACCTTTTGTCCTTCTCTTTGTTGGATTACATGATGCCAGTGTGGTCACCTTTATTTTAACATTATATGAGTGCATTTTGGTCCTCTTTACTCAGCTAGAAGTTACTTTATTCATCTCTGTGACTCTCCCTCCTACCAGTACGTAGCAGAGTAACCAAGAAATGACAGGGCATTTATAAATACTTTAATGAGAGTCTACCCAATAAATACTTAGCTGCTCTCCATCGGGTATACTCCTTATGATCCACCCTGGCAGCACGGTGGTACTTGCTAAAATGGCCCAACATTTCCTATGCGTATTAAATCTGTGCCCAGCCATGTCTCCTTGGATCTTTATCCACTACCCTTGGGCCAGACCTGTCTTACCCCAGGTAGTATTTGAGATATCCAGATTTTATCATTCCACCATTATTACTAAGCATCATCATAATGTGCAAGACTAGTTCTCCAGTTCTCAAGGTCAATGAACCCTAAATCTCTTTTCCAGATCACCAACAAGCATAACATCACCATGACCTGCAAAGGTACTGAGTATGTCCACAACAACCTCAGTAGTTCATCATAAAAAATGTAAAAATACCGTATCCTACATGGCATCTCTGGGCAAAGAAACGCTGAATTAAGGCTGTTGCCTCTGGGCAGGAAGATGATGAGCTAAGGGTCTGGTTGGACCCTTGGGAATCATTTGAGTATTTAAATCATGTGCACATATCCCATTTCCAATTAAAATGTTCTAAAGCAAGTTCTAAGCAAACAGAAATACAACAAAGAACAAGACACAGCCCTGCCCCTCTGAGCAGTGGTGCTGACAGGTGCTCATAGTTGACACCGTACCCTTTGGAGTCAAGTGTCCACATCGTGTCACTGGCCCCATGGAAAGCCTCGCTGAAATCAAGAAGGATTATGCAATGACCTGCCTGGCTCTCGGCCCTCACAGTCCGTTCCTCATAACTGGGCCGACAAGACTTCCTGCTATGCCCAGGCCCCAGGACTAATCCTGCTCCTCGTCTGGAGAGATTTTAAGGGACTTCGGGCTTAGGTGACTGACTCTGCCTTTGTATTCCCTTGGCAGAGGGTGGTCCAGATCTCTGGTGAGAATACCCGTCGTCTCCATTTTTAGTTTGCTTGATCGAGAAATCCATCAAGGGGTTAAGTGATGCATCTATGAGGTCAGAGGCTTTCCCAGTCCCCCCATTTATTGACCAAATGCAATTATTCAGAACCTCTTATCTGCAGGATATTAAACCAGGTCTGGGGCAGAAGTGAGTATAAAGGGGAAAGAATAGGGGCACCTGGGTGGCTCAGTCGTTAAGCGTCTGCCTTCGGCTCAGGTCATGATCCCAGGGTCCTGGGATCGAGCCCCATATCGGGCTCCCTGCTCAGCGGGAAGCCTGCTTCTCCCTCTCCCACTCCCCCTGCTTGTGTTCCTGCTCTCGCTATCTCTCTCTCTGTCAAATAAATAAATAAAATCTTAAAAAAAAAAAGGGGGGGGGGGAAGAATAGACCAGTGCCCTCCAGGAGCTCACAGTCCAGTAATAAAGACAGAAAGAGCCCAGAGCCGAGAGCTTGACTGCGTATGGTCAAGTGTGACAGAGGAGAGATGGAAAGATTGCTTTGGGTCATGGGCTGGGAGATAAAGGGGCAGTCCAGGAAAGCTTCTGGGAGGGACGACTTTGCTCACTTGAAAGCTGGTGGGATTTCAGTAGCTGCAGATAGAGCCTGCCAGATCAAGGCTGTGGCCTGGGAAGGTGATTCTGGTTCACACAATATAAAGGCTCCACACTTTCTTGGGGAGAACACAAAATGGAAGGCGAAAGGAGCTGCGCCCTGAGAGCCTCTCACCATCCTGTCTGGTGACTACCTGGACCTCCCCCTCCATCCCTAATAACATTCCAGGCCCCAGGAAGCCCACCCCACCTCTCCCAGGCAGGATTAGTCATCCTGTCTGTTGCCCTCCTGAGGCTTGCCGTCTGTTCTCGAAAGTCAGGGAGATTTAGAGGTTGTGCGCAGACTCTGGGGATGCCATGCTGCCAGGGTTCAAATCCTGGCTCAGCCACTGACTTCCTGAGTCATCTTACGCAAGTTGCTTACCCTCTCTGGGCCTCAGTTTCACCATCTGTCAAATGGAATATTAATGGCCCCTCCCTCCTAAAGTCACTGTGAGGATTAAAGAAGTGAGTGCTCCCAGACCAGGAGAGCGGCACCTGCCTGGGTGTCTTGGCTTCTAGAGCCCCAGGGTGCAGTTACTCTTCACTGGACTGTCTGGCCTCCTGAACTCCAGAACCTTGAGGACCAGGGTCACGGCTCTTCATCTAGGAATCTCTCTCAGGCTGCGGGCTTAGAGGCGTCCAGCAAAATAGGTATGCAATTACTATCTTCCGAAGGGAGGAACAACACAGGGCCATGAAAAGGGAAAAACAAACAAAACAACAACAACAACAAAAAAAACACGAGTCAAGGCCAAACGCAAAGACAAAGCAACACACATGAAATGATGGGAAATGAACGTAGAACAACGTAGGGGCTGAGAATTTGCCATCCTTCGGAGGAGAAATAGCCCGTCACCCCCTTCCATCTCTCAACAGGGCACCAAGCGTCTGGGAGTGAAGGATTTTGCCCTTCCCTTCCAGGCCCAGCGGGCCCAGGCGCTCCCTCCCCCGCGGGCGGTCCTCTCCTCCCCACCCCCCGCCCCCCTCCTCCCCCGCCCTCCTCCTCCTCCGCCCCCCTCCCCCCACCCCGCCCCCTCCTCCTCCCCGCCCCCCACCCCAGCCTGGCCGCAGCCCTGACCTCGGCTCCCACGCGGGCCAGCAGCCGGCGGGCGGGCGGGGCAGGAAGGGGGAGACGCGGCTCCGGGCACCCGAGATCCTTAACTGCAGCTTCCAAAGCCCTGGCTGATCCTAATCAGTGTGGGAAAGGAGCGCGGGCCGCCCGCCGGCCGCAGACGCCGCCTCTTTTCATAAACTTTATCGCCGCGCACAGCCGCTGATAAAGCACCGTAAATAAGCGGGCGCCCGGAGTGTGCCGGGGCCCGGGCTGCTAGCGCCCGCCCGCCCCGGCCCCGGCGCTCCCCGGGGAGATGAATCACGCGCAGAGCTGGAAGGAGTTCCGTGTTCCCCTCCTCTGCAGACCAGCGCCACAAATAACCGTGCATTCCTCCCCTGCCCAGAAACCCCTCACCTTTTGTTTTATGGATTCAATAAAAAGCCCAGGAGTTTTCCTTCTGGCTGCCTGGCCACCCCTCCTTCCCCGGGGAGGTGAGTGTGCTGGCCCGAGTTATCCTCTTGCCTCTGGTTAAGCTTCTCGGGCTGGGTTGGACCCGGGGCCTGTGGCTCCTTGATCCCAAATCCCCTTTGGCTCCTGCACCACGGAGAGGGACTGGAGCAGGGGGAGGAGGAGTGACTTGCAGTCTCTAGTGGCAGGTGATGAGGACCCGGTTCCCACAAAACTCGTCTTGGACGTGTGTGCATGGAGAACTTGCTGAGGCCTAGTCACGGCAGGAGCCCCGGGCTCTGGGCTTGGCCTGCCCTGGGAGGATTTAAGGCAGAGAGAGTGCGGTCCCCTGGCTGCCAAGGCCCGGAGGGACCCCCACCACTTAAACTATAGTTTGAAAGTGGAAGTGCCTGAGATGTTATTTGGCAGATCTGAGGATCTGCATTCTTTAGTTCTTGAAATTGTGACTGGAGGGCCCCCACATTAACCCATGGCACAATTTGGAGACTGAAGTTTGAGGAAGACTGTGCAAGTATGAAGGAATATAGAAAGATGGGGAAGCATCTCGGCTCAGCCACCAGAGCCTGGTCTCTTGCCCAGAATTGCTACCCCCTGGCTCTGGGCCCTGGTGCAGCCACTGACCCTCTCTGGGCCTCAGGTTCCTCATCTTCCTGTCCAGTGAGTGAATAATATCTAAAAGGATCCTACTGTATAGGAAATAACATCCTGTTTATAAATCACTACATTTCTGAGGTGCCCTATCACAGGCCCGTCTGAGAAACACTGTTTTGTCCTCTTGGAAGAAACCAGGGCATGGCCAGCTTCTGGAACTGACCCCTGGTGAGTGAGGTTAACACTGGACTTTACTCCTCATGGAAGTCACAGAGGTCCAGAGTCTCTCAGGCCAGAAGGAAGTCCACCTATGAGGCAAAAAGCCATCTAAAAATAAAATCCTGCCTACCCTAACAGTGTTAGCACGGGGCTTCTTGGGGGCCCCGGTATAAGGGGCCCAATGACTGTGGCTCTGCTTCATGTTAGAGGGACTGGTTGGCTCAGAACACCTAATCTAGAAAAGTCAACGTTTCCCTCAGTGGGAAATGAGGCTAGGAGGAAAAGGGCCTCTGACGGCAGCTCTAGAGATAGCAAAACCTGGGAGCTATCTAGAGATAGCAAAACCTGGGACTCCAGTGGGAGTCCTAACGAGGTTGCCTTGGGTGTAAGGTTCCCTGGGAGTGTGGGTGGGGAGCCTCCCCTCCAGCCATGGCCAAGAGGAGGAGCTCCCTCATGAAACAGAAATGGACAAAGGCCCGCTTCTTCCAGAACCCATTTCTGACACTACCTCATGTCCCCAGGGAATGTGTGGCCCCAGACAGACTTCATTTCCTGATCTCTGGATAGAAAGCCACTCAGTCTTTTCTCCTCATTTGCATGATGTCAAAAAAAAAAAAAATGAGTCATGCTGAATTGTCATTTGTTAAGAAATTTTGGCAAGAGATTCCCAACTGAGATTAGAGTTGATTTCTGAAAAAAGGGATGCATACTAACTCAAACACTGATTTATTATGTGAATGGGATCAACGTCTTGGGCCTCAGTTTTCCCATCCATGAATCCTGATGTGTTTCTTTCCACTCTAACCTACTGGGCCTCTAACATAGTCAGGACTATCGTAAGTGGAAGTAAAATTTTTAAACTTTCCAGAGCAGAGATGAGTTAGGGAAACTTATCTAAATGGGACTCTTCCACAATCGTTCCTGCTTTCTAGTTTGTCTGCTACTGTGCAGGTGAGCAACCAAAGCAAAAAAGGAGAGAACTCGTCAAAAAGATAGGGCTCCATGTCAAGGTTGGGGTTAATCTACCAATTATTTTATAATAGAAGGGGTTCTGAACCTTTCACAGTCACAGAACTTTATAGATTTTGATGAAAATCACGTGCTCCTCTCTCTCCCCTCCCCCCAAATGCACGTACAAATACACACTTGTCTTGGCAGATCATTTCAGGGGTTCACAGACCCCCTGAAGCCCCATCCAAGGGCCCTATTAGGAAATACTAAATAATAAATATTTAATAAATGATTGATCCTCTGTTTCTTTATCTGTACAAAGGAAATACTGTTCACCTGCAACCAGTTTCCTGAAAAAGGAGGAGGGTGGATAGGCCTGTGCTGTTTTAAAACACATCGGTTCTCTGCCTGGCATCCGTGTAATATTGATGCAATTCTATTACCATTGTCCGCCCCAGTCGCTCTCTCTTCTGCTTCACGGGATGTAAATTGCCGCGCAAGACAGCAGTAGTCCCGGCTTGTGAAATTCCCGCAGCAAACCCTCTGGTACGCCAGCGCTGTCAGTCTTCACACTTGCTTGTTAGAGACGTAATGAGTCCCCACGGAGACCAAGGGGAAGGCTGGAGGTAGCTCTGCGGGCCCTCAAAGGGTAATAACCACCAAGGTAGGAATGTCCCAAATGATACCCTTGTGGCTTTAAAAGTCAATGTAACTTTCCAAAGAGTCTTCCTTTCTCCCAGAGTGTGTTGTAATATTACAGAAATGAACTCACTGAAGCAAAACCAAGGTTTAGGGGAAACGCTCTTGATGAAGTTATCAGCTAATATGTTCAATAGAGTCAGTCCATTTGGAACAGGGAGCCAAACCTCAATTTCTATGTCACCCATATAATGAAGGGATGCGATTAGATCCCATGGCCCTTGATCTTTCTGGGTTCACATCTTCCTTGGGACGTAAGCTGTGGGTCCTGGCAGAAAAGAGACATGCACTGGACACTGACTCTTACACGCTTTTATTCACAATGTAAGGGCCTTGCAGAAGGCTGGCGGTCCAGCCGGGAAACACCAGATTCCTAGAAGCTGCACTCCCCACCCCTCCCTAATGCCTCCCCTGCCTCAGTTGCTGAGGCTCTTGGGATCCCCTGATAAGTCCATCTGTGGCTGCGGGGCCGAGTCCTTGACCATTTCTCAGAGCCTCTGCAAACAGAGGACGGAGGGAAGTGTTCTTCCTGCGGCTGCTGTGAAAATAACCTGCTCTAAACTTGCCGTGGGGGCCGTTTAGGAGGCAAAGCTCCAACAGCCGTCTCCCAGACAATGGCACGCAACTGTAACTCAATGTTGGGTTTTGTTTTGTTTTTTTTGTGGAGATGAGGAATGAGGAGGGATGAGGGGACTGGAACATGGGATAAAGAGTGGGGAGCAGTCAGAACATGCAGACCGCACGGTGCTTGGAGAAGTGAGCGCTAAGGGTTTTGAGGAAGCCCGGGTGAGCAACCATCTTCCCTGTGTGGGAAGCTCTGCGGCTTCTCAACAGACAGAGGGGCTCCTCCTATAGCACCTGGGCCCTGCCTTACTGTGGTTCATAAATATTCCCTGCCCCTCCCTGGGGAAAGAGGATATTTCTCCTCCTCGCTGACATCGGACTTGGCCATATGGTTAGCCCTGGCCGGGGCAATGAGCAGAAGTGACATCCGTCACTTCCAGGCAGAAGATTCAAGAGCCACCTTGAGGTTTACCACACGCGTTTCTCCCTCTGCCACAAGACTGGCCATATTCCAAATTGACCGCTCCGTCAGCCCGGTCCCCGAGTGAAGGCCACCCAGAGCAGTCCTGCAGTCAGCCTGTCAGAAACCTCAGGCGAGTGCGAGAAAAACATTTGGCGTATGAGCTCTCGAGATCTTGGAGTTGTTTGTGACAGTCGCAGAGCCAAGCCCAAGGTACTGATACAGTCTCCTCCTTTGGAAAGGAAGAGAGATGGGTCCCCAGAATGGCCCTCACTAGCGGACAGGGCTGTGACGACAGCACCAGCCGATGTCGGCAGGGGGCAGGTGCACGCCCCTTCCATCCATCCCTCTCCCTGACCCTGCCAATAGAAGCCCCCGTACCCACCGCCAGCCGAGCATTCGTGAGCCCGGCCAGGAGCCCATCCGTCGAGCCACCTGTAGCGGGTCGAGTGGCAGCCCCCCAAAAGATAGGTCTATATCCTAACTCCCCAAACCCGTGAATGGGACCTGATTTGGAAAAAGGGTCTTTGCAGATGTAATGAAATAAGGATCTCTAGATGGGTCACCCTCGTTTTCCCCGCACACACTCTACATCCAATGACGAGCGCCCTCATGAAGGTGAAGAGGGGAAGACAGAGGCAGAAAGTGGATGACAAGAACACCAGGAGCCACCAGACGCTGAAAGAAGCAAGGAACGATCCTCCCCTAGAGCTCTTGGAGGGAGCCCAAGACCCTGCTCACATCAACGTTTCAGACTTCTGGCCTCCGGAACGGTTAAGAAAATAAATTTCTGTTGTTTTAAGCCACGCTGTTTGGAGTAATTTGATATGGCCACCGTAGAAAACTAACGCCCCACCTTGGCAAAATATCTTTTCTTCATGAGTTCCTCCCTCTAACATAATTCTTAAAGGCAAGAACTACAAACCAGTATACTAATGGATTAGGAAGAAAGCCTCTCTTTCTCTCTACCCGGTCCCCAGGGCAGGGCCGCAATTATGTTTGAAGGGGAGAATGCGAGCTCACAAAACCCGACTGGGCTATTTCCTCTCCAGAGGGGACACCAGCAGTGAGAGAGGTTGAATCCTTGATTATGGGCTGTGCAGAAACCGATGCTCAGAATAAAGAGCTCCTGGAATCAAAGCTCAGGGGATGGTGCATGGAGTTTTAGAGTCTCCAGGGTGGAGAGAGATCATGTCCGACATCTTCAGATAGAAGTTTTAGATGCACAAGAGAGTTTAAAGGATTTTTGCACATTTGTTTATTTTTTCACTTTGTTGGGGACTGTGAGGCCCAGAGAGGGGTGCAGTCTGCCCAGGGTCACAAAAGAATTAGGGGCTAATTCCT